TGAACCCCGAACTCGCACTTGGACTTCTTCACACAAAGAGGCGGTCTTGATGCAAAGAAAGTGAGGACTGCACGGACGTGGACCGAGGTGCTCGCCATGGAACTGCTGTAGATGAGAATGTCATCGAAAAATACGAGCACGAACCGGCGCAGGAACGGCCTCAAGATGTCATTCATCAGTGCTTGGAAGGTTGCCGGCGCGTTGCAAAGACCGAAGGGCATGACGAGGAATTCGTACAGCCCCTCATGGGTCCGGAACGCCGTCTTCTCAATGTCGCAGGGCGCTACGGACTGGTGGTACCCGAACGCAGATCCGGTTTGAGAAGAACCGGCGCCGCGTGCGGCTCGTCCGAAGCTTCGTCGACGACGGGGATGGGAAATGCATCCTTGACTGTGATGGTGTTGAGTGCCCCGTAGTCTCGCAGAAACGCCAAGAGCCGTCGACTTTCTTGACAAGCGATCACCGGCGACGAGAAGGCGCGAGAAGCTGCGCCGAATCAGCCCCTCGTTCAAAGATGGACGCCAAGACCGCCTATCCAATTTCGTCCTTGTGGCAGCGAGTACCGGTAAGGCTGACCATGACCGGCGCAGAACCTGTGGAGAAGGGTGATGGAGTGATCCTGGGATCTAGGTGGTGGCATGCCAGTGGGCTCGGTGAAGACGCCAATGCCGAACTCGGCCGGGAGCCCAGCAGAAAGATCTCGCATCGTGGCACGCCTTGAGGCGGGGGCTGGTAGGTCCCGCTATGCCCGCCAAAGATACTTGGCGGCCTTGGTGCTGAACCGTCATGGACGGATCGGCGCCAAATCCCATAGAATGGGCCCCAGCGTGGCCAGCCATTGTGTCCCAAGCACAACATCGTGAATCGCCCCGGCACAAAGGCGAAGAAATCCGGCGAAAAGGAGGCTCCTCGATGGAGAAAGTAGCAGCGTGGTAGACGCTGGGCACGGCACTTTGTCACCATTTGCGACAAGAACCCTCATGCCGCCGCGTGGAGCCGGAGGCGGAGGGAGGTCCGGCCGCTTGCCTCGCCACGCCGGACGAAATTGTGTGTGGACCACAATCCAGAAGCCGGCGACATCGTCCCCGGGTTGATGCGCGGTACGCCGTGTCCCCGGTGCGTACCCTGCTGATGGCGGCGGGGGAGATTGTGGGATCGTCCAGATTGACCAGGTAGCGACGTCTTCAGCCTTCATCCTCCTCGATAGATCCAGAAGAAAAACGACGACAGACACGATTGTGCCCGCGAGCATACTTCTCGTTGCAGTTGAAACAAAGCCCTTGGCGCCGGCGATCATCCATCTCCGCAGCTTTCTTGGTACGTCTTGATCGACCTTCGATTAAGCCGCAGCTTTCAACGACTTTTTGGTGGTGGAGCCGGCAGGGCTAGGGGCTGGCGGGACCTGCCAGAAGGCCACGGCCCGCGAGGCGAGGCGCTGGGGGGTGCCATGGCGGCTGCAACCACGCTCTGCTCCCGAATCTCCAGCTTCCGGTCCAAGCTCATGGCCACGATGAGCGTCTGGGGGTTCTGCATCTCCACGTCGTGGCTGAGCGGCGGACCGAGCCCCGCCGTAAAGGCCTGGATGCGCTGTACCTCCTCCAGTGGCCCAGCACGAGGTAGCAGGGCCTCAAACCGGTCCTGGTACTCCGCCACGGTCCCCGTGCGCCTGCAGGCCATGAGTTCGCCCATGGGGTTGGATCGGAGGGGTGGACCAAAGCGGAGATTGAGGAGCTCGGTGAAGCGCCTCCATGATGGAGTGCCCTCGGACTGCTGCACTTGAATGTACCACATCTGCGCACTGCCTTCGAGGTTGTAGGAGGCCATCCAGACCTGCTCCTCGGCGGCGATGCGCTGTTGAACGAAGTAGGACTCGCACCGGTTGATGAAGGCCAGCGGGTCGGATTTGCCGTCGAACTTGGGGAAATCCAACCACGGAACCGGAGCGGCGGGTCACCCGTGTGCTCGGCCAAGCCAAAACCTCGGGTTCCCGATTGGGAGGTCGATGGAGGTGGTTGAGCTCACTTCTGTGTGAGAATCACTGCATGGTCGCCATGCTCTTGGTGAGTTCACTCATCATCTTGGCGATGTCGGCGTTGGATGGTTCAACCATGGGTGGTGAAGAAGAGGCATGGATTGGGTGGGTGTGGTGGGGCGTGGTGGTGGTGGAGGGGGGGGGTGGTGGGGCGCAGCAGAGATGAAGAACGCCTGAATCTGATACCAGTTGTCAAGGGCCTCAACTCCTAACAATGGAGGCCCCAGGCTGCATGATGATTATAGTTGGAGGTAGGAGATGGGGGCGCCAGGATATGGTGGCGCCCACAGCAGGAGGTGAGATTAGAGATAGCAGGAGATGAGATTAGGGATAAATCACTTCATTCCTTTTCTCAACTGAAAGCAGGGATTACATATATATAGGATTGCTGGCGCCCAGCTCCTAGTTCCCGGTGCCAGCTAATAACTATCAGCCAGCTACTACTCCTTGATCCCCACACAACTCTCTTAATTGATCTTAATAACTAAGGCCCTTGGGCGCCTAGACCTCCTGGGTTCCTCCCGGTCAATCATGCTCTTGGGGGCAGATCTGTTGCACCTCGTGCTCGAGGTCTCATGTTGATAATGGCGGCCCCACATAACAGTTCTAGCATTGCAATATGGGTCACTATCCTTTATTCCTTAGCTCATCATCGTATTAATAATTTTTGGATGAAATTTTTCTGTAATCCATTCCGTTGTGACATGGGATGGGATGAGAAGGAATTCATGATATTTTACTTGAATAAGGTAGTCGCTAGGACAATTGCATGATTGTTCTCAAACAGAAAAAGGAAACAATTGCAAGAAACATAGGTTCAAGCTATCCTGAACTGATATAAACTTTTACCAGTGAGATATAAAGTTGAAATTACAAAACAAATTCCAGAAGGAATAGCCAGAATAGTGCGATAGATAGTTTAGACAAGTATGCCAAGTGTTTACTTTCTGCATGAGTGTTATGGAATCATAATCTAGTATTCTGAATTTTATGTGATTGTTCAGTTCCATATCGTCACTTAATTTGTTATGTATAAAAGGGCTACTCTAATTCTATTTCCTGCGAAGCCACAGCTTTCAACAGTTTGTGACTGGAATTCTGTTGGAAATGATGGTGGCCCTGTATCGGTTGGACAGTTGAGGGGTTAATAGAATCAGAAAATGGAGCACTGGCACATTCCGAGGTAGTTCATCTTATAAACATTTATCTTTCTTTCCTGATGAAAAAAATCACTATCTATTTTTCCCATTTTGTTATGCTAACATGGGGACCTAAAACATCTAGTACTGTAGTACATACAGAGATTTCAATGCAGAAACTGACGGTTCTTTTTTCTAAAGGAATATTTAAGGATAATGTTCCAGTTTGAAAAAAAAACAAGAACAATTCAGCAATGGGAAACATGAGCTGGGGCCAGTAATTCACCTGGCCATGAAGAGTGAATCGTGGTAGGCTCTGCTAATCATGTTTTTGTACTCCAGGTTCAACTGTTTTGCAGCAAATTCCATTGCGTCAACAACTGATTTGTCAGATAGAGCCGGTGGGTCCTGGTTGATTATCTTAAATTCTGAAAGCTCTACTCCACGGTTCTTTGAAATCTGTGTTGCAGACCAGCGAATCTTCTCAATGACATCATTCCTTCTCTTCTCATCAATATCTCTTACATCTGCATCAAGGATACCATGACTTTATTAGTTGGTAAATCATCATATTTTCCTGAGAACAATCATATTTTATTTGAAAGGAAGTAGGCTCATACCAATTTCTAGGTGTGATTTGCTTGGGATGCTATTGATTGCTCCTGGATGTAACTGCAGAATACCTGAAGAAGAATAGTTTAGTCAAATTAATCCGAGGTAACCATGTCTTGACAGTAAGCTTTCAAATGTTCAACTTTTCCTTTTTGAAAGAATCCATCTTCGGATGTTGGTTAGTAACTATCTCCATAAATATATATTTAATTTAAAATAGGACTCAAGTTGTCTAATTGAGTATCTGGCCTAGAAATGGGATAAAATAAAACGTTAGGATTTAGAAAATCATGCTTAACAGACTCTTCACTAGCTAAAGAACAGAATACCTAAGTTGCATGCCTATTGACTTGGCTAAATATGATATGTTTTCTTTGGCATGGAGAGAAGATATAATCCAACAAGATAGGCACAGATTAAATTGCAGCGGGAAAACCACATACTTCATGTGGAAAACAATGTGCTGAGGAATATATATTTGGTCCGACTGTACGACATGATATTATGATGTCACAAGCATAATGGAATGATAGATTTGATGTAAAAAGCTAAATATGGTTTATAAAACATACCAACGGTGCCAACAGTATCAATTGATCCTGATTCCAGGACGTGTTTCTCGACTGCTAATGCTAATTCAGCTGCTGCCAGTCCAGCATCGTTTCTGTAGAACACTCCTTTTACATACATATATGGGGAGATCCTTCACAAGAATGTAAATCACAATAAAATGAATGAACATGCTAACCTTGCAGGCATAAGCACTGCTCCAGCATGACCCCCATTCCCTTCAAAGTCCACCTTAAGACTTGCAGGAGCAGCAATAGCAGTAACAATGCCAATAGGGATACCTATTGTAAGAGGACTTGTATACCATCAATTTGAAACTGCAAACATGTTAATTTACTGGGAACCTACCTTCCTTTTCTAAGATGGGACCCTGCTCAATGTGCAGTTCTATAAAAGCAGAGTAGGTGTCTTTCTTTAGAAATACACTATGCAGGTCCTCTAGATGCAACTTATAGCCAGCAGCTTCTGCAGCATCCAAAATGACACATTCTGATTGTCAACTACTTTTCTGAGGGATTGAGCTAGTTCTTCAATCCCTGCCATTAAGCAACTGCATATTTTCAAAGGATCAAAAGATGAGAAGCCACAAATTAGAGCAATGCAGCCATTAGCTCAAGCGGAACTAATCTTATTGCTTAATGGTCCACCTTCCCAAACAGCTAATTCCAAATCGTGTAGGCTCCTCTGATGTAAACATGATAACCTCCAAAGACCTTTTTGGCAGGAAAGCAGACCTGTATGACACATGCAGGCCAAACAGGTAAGGTTTGTCTCAAGATGAAAAACAAAGTTAAGTCCAATATTTATATAGCCCGTATTATGACCTCAAAATGTGTGACAACATAGGCAAAACATGTAAGGTTGTGCCAAGTGAATAGTACAGATAGGTCAACCTTTTTTTATCAAACAGCAAAAGCTCGGCCGGTTCTATTGATCTGGTAACAATGTACTGAGTCTCTACAAGGATCCAAAGTAAATCAGTACATTGTCTAATATTTACATACCCTGACATTGGTCAACTCTTTTGTTAAAATTCAGAGTGGTGTAATGATGCCAATGTTCAACAGCAAGGTAGTTCACCGGTTCCTGGTTATGCTTTGAACTAAGTATTTCAAGTCTAAAGCACATGTCTAATGTACGTGAGAATGAGATGAAGCACACAGCTTTTCTTTTGCCATTTCGTAAGTATCAAATGTATGCTTCCCAATACTTGGTTGCATCCCACAACGAGCAGAAGTGGGTCTTCAGTTGTCTACTAGACGGTTACAAGAAAGAACTAGTCAATAAGCAGCTCTGTAATTTCACCAAATTAACAACCCTATACTAGCTGATTAAGCACGGTTCATCTGATTCCAATCACATCAGCCCTAGAAACATGACTGTATATAAGATGTAAGATGGTCAACAAACACTCAAGCCAGAAAAAGAGAGGGGAAAAACCAGCCACGTTACATATGGACAACACTACAACAGTAAAAGAATGCAATACAAAGGATCATCCTTGGTGCTGCAGGAATGGTGAAGACACTTATAGGCAGACAGAACTGTAACCTTTTCAGCAAACTAATCGCCTCAAGAGCACCCAGAACTCCAACAACACCGTCAAATTTGCCTGAGAATGGAATGGCATCAACATGAGATCCAGTTGCAACAGCCCCTAGTCCAGGCTCAGAACCCTCCCTGTAGAAGGTTGTAATGTTCAATGGGCATGATAATTCCAGCACATAGCAAATTTAACAAAATCCAGAGACTTTTCAGCCAGATGTACTATTACAGCAGAATCCTTGCATGCTTCCTAAACCCAGAGAAATGAACCAAGAGCAGAAAATTCAAAGGCTGTCAAAGACCAACTCACCAGCGGCCAAATATGTTACCAACAGCATCTTCCCGAACAGCAAGGCCAAGTTGATTCATTATCCCTTTTATATACCTAGACATCAGAATCACAAGCCAACAATCAGCAAAGGGGGATGTCCACTTTGTTAAATAAACTAACAGCTATCTGAACCCAGAATAATGCAAACTGAAGTTGATCGATCATTGCTGTGTACATCAAAGGTCTCTCAAGCGTGGCACGTTCTACGGCCAAAATCGATGACAAGCACACTCTTCAGAGGACTAATGCCCGAGTCGTTCTTTCGTCCACTCGCGATTTTTTTTAATTTTAACCCTTTTTTAATCTAATTTTAAATCTAATATTGTCGTATTTTTTTAAAACTAACATTTTTGGCCGCGTCTATTGCGCTGGCACGGCCAAATAACTGTGTCGCGTCATGTATGGTGGCGCGGCAACGGATTGATGTGGCGATGAACGAAATCGCTGACCGCTGACGTGGCAGGGCCTGCCGCGCCGCTAATCTTAGCGCGGCAGTGCCGCGCCTGATCGATGACGCGGTAGAGACACGCCGTGATCGCCTGGCCCTGGCCTGCCCGCGCGGGGCTCGATGCGCTGCACCACGGCGCCCAAAGACACGCGAGAGACGCTCCTGCGGCCTGCCGAGCACTGCTGTCTGCCAACGTGCTGCGTCCCACGGACTCACGGAGCAAGCAGAGGAAAGAGAAGGGGAAGCGAGCGAGTCAATTCGAATCCATCTCGATCACGGCCTTGTTTTGAAGTTAGAAATCAGTATTTGGCACAGTAGCATATTCGTTTGTATTTGATAATTATTGTCTAATCATAGCCTAATTAGGCTCAAAAAATTCGTTTCGTAATTTATAATCAAACTATGTAATTAGTTATTTTTTTATCTATATTTAATACTTCATACATATGTCCAAATATTTAATGTGATAGAGAAAGAGTAAAAAAACTTACGATCTAAATCAGGCCCACGTAGAAGTAGCAATGTATTGTAGGATATGCTGGCTACTCCTAGCTGCTAGCACGTCGTAGTACGATCGGGCGCCACGGCTGCGTGTCGCGCGCGCGCGCACCGCATGAACCACGCTGCCGTGCAAGGAGCACGGGTTTCTCGGCTTGTAGCAGTGCCCTTCTTCTGTCGGCGTCAGTCACCCTCGTTTCTTGTCCAAGGTCATCCCCGTCTGGCAAGCTTGACAAGCTCCGCTGCTGCCTGATGGTCTGCTCTTTCTCCTCTTTCTCTGTATGCATTCGTACGTTTTATTTTCCTTTTTCCGGAAGGGGTACCCATTAATATTTATGATATATAATGGTACCATTGAAAATATCTTTAAATTTAGTTTTTAATAAATTTATTTAAAGATATAAATATTGCATGTATTTTCTATAAATCGAATCTTTAGGAAAATCAAAAGCGACACATAATTTTCTTGCTGTGAGTCTGTGACCAGACGGACGGACGTGGGGGCCGTGTGAGCCACTCACGCATCGGCTGCCTATTGGACGGGCAGCCTCACGTCAGTCACCAGTGACCACTCACCACTGTCCGCTGCTCTTTTGCCTTCGTTCCATAGGATGCTATGCGCCTGTTTAGTTGGACCCTAAATTTTAAAAAAGTACTATAATATTTATCACATCAAATCTTTCGATACATATATGGAGCATTAAACATTTTAAACCTAATTAGTTTATTATTGAACACTATTTACCAAATAAAAACAAAAGTGCTACAGTAACCTAAATTTCAACTTTCATCCACTAAACACACCATATGATAAAACTTCTGTTCATCATCGAATGGTAGCAGCAGACTACAGTACGTGCATGTTCACGGAACAAGTAAATCCTGCCTGTCAGCCAGTCACAGACTCACATTGCGACTGCGCGCACTGTAGCACTGACCACGCCTTGTCCCATCGCTGCCCACTCTGTAGCACTGTAGCACTGTACAGCTGGCTGCTGGGTACAGTACTGTACGGTACAGAGGTACCCGCAGCATACGTATCGTTTTCTTCGCCGAGAAAAGAGCCTACTGTACTCTGCTCTGCTGTCTGCTCAGTCTGCAGCCTCCTCTCAGCTGTCCTGAGCAGCGCGGCTCTGTGCCAGGCATATACCGTGCTCCGTGTTGGACAAAGTCAGAGTGGGCAATCGGTTTAAACCGATCATTCGGTTCGGTTTGTTCGGTGTTGAAAAACTTCGGTTTACGCAAAACAACAACCGATCGGTGGACGTCAAAACCAGAAACCGACGTGTTCGGTTTTCGGTTTAATTGGCTCGGTGTTCGGTTTCCCCCGAACTTCAGCATATGTCCCTGCCGCTCATCCACTCCATCGACTCTTACTCACATCTCCCCAACAAGCCAAGAACCAATGAAAATTAATACCTGTGTGGGTGTCGCATGCCACCATCGCAGTTCAAACTGGGTTGGTGCCTGATTTGATGACCAACAGTGCTCGCTGACCATCTTCGCTGCACTTGCATCTTGCTGCGCTGCCTCCCAGGGCGCTCAACTCGCACTCGCCCCCTGTGCCTGCGCCATCTGCTGCGCTGGCCGCCGGGGCTGCCATGCGCAGCCGCGCCGCCTAGCTCGCCACGCGTGGCCACGACGACAAGCTTGCCGCTCGTCCGCACTCCACACTCGCTGCTCACACGCACGGCCGCGTCGCATGAGCGGATAGATCGAGATTTGAGACTCGAGAGAAGAACGAAGGAGAAAGAGATAAGGATGAAGGAAAAGGAAAGGAGAGAGGGATGTCAAGGCAAGGACACGGTCACGGGAGTCCTTCCTTTTGGCTGCAGGTTCCGGCTTCTGGGAGCTTCACGTGATGGGCCTTCTTGGGCCAAGACTGGTGCCGTGCGATTGCGAGCGGCAGGGTGCGCTACAACAGAGTTCGGTTTGATCGGGTGTTCGGTTTTCGTCGCCTGCAAACCGACGCCGAAACCGAACACCGAAACACTGGAAACATGAAACCGAAACCGAAAGACAAAAAAGCCGAAAGTTCAGTTTGGCTCGGTTATCGGTTCTCGGTTTAAATATGCCCAGTCTAAGGACAAAGGAAAACTCTGCAATACGTGCTCTGTTTCTTTTTTTTTTTTAAATACTAGTAATACAGTGTAGGAGTACTGTAGAAGCGACGATACAGTGTTCGGGGCTGACTGACGCACGAGTCATGAGCGAGCGCCGTGCTGGGCCCCATCTACAGCGTAAGGGTTCGTGACTTCGTGGTACAGAACGTGTACGACTGCCTCGTCTACCGGAGACTTGTCGTGCAACTGTGCAAACGCCATAGCCATGGGACCCGTGCCGTGAGCCGTGGGGCATAAAAAGCGAGGATGGAAAGGCTCTCTCGGGACTTCCCCTGGCCTGCTCCAGGGAAGGCGAGGCGAGGCTTGTGTGCCAAGCCGGCTGACGGGACTTGTCAAGTTGGCATCCATCCGGTGCGCTCCGGAGTCAACCTGCCACTCTGCGCCTGCTCTGCTCTGCCCATCGCTCAACTCCCCACGGTCCTCTGCTCTGCTCCTGGCGCCGGACCGGCCCAATCGCAGCACACATATAGTACTCCGTATTTCCCGTTCTCTCTCTCTCTCCGTATTTCCCGGTCACGTAGACATCCTAGAGGCCAGACGGCGATGGGGGAGGCGTGCAGGTGCAGCAGGGCCAATCGGGCATGGCAGCGTGGTTCATGCGGGCGCCCGCGCGACAGGCAGCCGCGGCGCTCGTGCCCTGCGCGTCGCGACACAGGGACGGGAGAAGCGGAGCGGTGGTGCCAGAGCCAGAGCCAGACCCAGACGGCAAGCCCCAGGCGCGTCTCTCACGTGTCTTTGGGCGCCGTGGTGCAGCGCATCGAGACCCGCGCGGGCAGGCCAGAGCCAGGGGATCACGGCGTGTCTCCGTCCCGCCACCGATCAGGGCGCGACACTGCCGTACCAAAATTGATGATGCGGTAGGCCCTAGCACGTCAACGGTCAGCGATTCCGATGCATAATAGCGCGACACAGTTATTTAGCCGCGCCGCGCTAGGGCAATAGACGCTGTCAAAAATGTTAGTTTAAAAAAGGGTTAAAATTAAAAAAAAATTGCTCTCAACTGCGTTACCTTCGAGCCTGCACATCGTTGTCGGTGTACAGAACGCGGGTCACGGACGGCGCGGGCGAATCGGAGAACGAGGCCAGCTCAGCAATCTGCGAAAAAAGCACACGCCGTTGGAAACCAACACCTCACTTCACAGCAATAGCCTGCACATCACGAACGCACCTGCCGCTGGAGGCCCTCGGAGTCGACGCGGAAGTCGCTGGAAGGGCCGCCGTCGCCGTCGTCGGAGGCCGGGAAGCCGGCGAACTGCTCCATCGTCCGCCGCGCCGCCGCGTCATCGTGGCCCGCGGCGGCGCTGATGCCGAGGAGGAACGCGAGGAGGACGAGGCGCGAGGTGGCGGTCGGCTTCGACGGCATGCTTCGTTTTCGGCTGGCTGCTCCTGCTCTGCAGGGTTCGATGGGACAGACAGGGGGGCGGCTACTTCGTGGGGCTAGGGAGATTTGAACGGCGGGCGGGGCGGTGGGAGTGGGAGACGACGACGCGACTGCACTACCACTGATGCTGTTGGAGTGTTTGGTCGTGGTCACCTGACTGCTGCGTCTGCGTGCCGACGAGGAAGACGACACGGCGGCGGTGGCTGCTACCTCGCGATAGCATAAAAAAATATTTTTTTAGCCACGATGCCTCCTACCTGCAGGCACGGGAGTGGCCTTCGCGAACGTTCCCAGAACGCCGAGCCTCTTCGAGCGGGCACACCAACAACTCAAGAGAGACACGGTGACGGTGCACGTGTTGGCTCCTGCATCGCCACTTCAGACCAACAGGCCAACCATCGCCTAGGACGAGGCGGTCCACTCGCCGACCTGTGCAGCACGCTCCCCGTGCCGGCGAGGCGCGCCTCCAGGGCCTCCACGAAGCAGTGCGCCAGGCGCTGCGTGGCGTCCCCCGTCGGCGACGCATCCTGCTTCGGCGGTGGTGGCGGCGGCGGCAAAAATAAATTGTGATCGGTAATATATGATCTGTTATGTGGAGGTAGGC